ATGAGTAGGAATCTTCCACAGAGCAAAAAGACATAAAGGAACAGCATGCACAAAGGCATTGAGATGCAACAAAAGGAAGCAAGAGAGGCCTGGTTATAAAGAAACATGGTGAAAAGATTGAGAGGTTTAGGTTTTATTTTGGAAGTGAATTGTATCTGGCCTATTAGATTTTTGTTTTCTTTAACTGTGAATTTTAGAAATAATGAAGAATCTGAAAAGAATTATCTAAGTCATCATTCACAGTACTATGAAAACAATGGATAGTAAGTCAATTTTGGCATCAATTTGGTTACTGAAGTTGGTGTAAAAATATTGAAGAAAATGAAAATATGTTGACTAAAGGATTTGAAATGTGCATTCTGTTGTATTTTGAGCAATACTTAATTTAATAGCAAGATTTAATTTTCAATTGCTCTTCTGTATATAACATTATTATAAAGTGCTCCAAGATAACATTATTAAAAAAAGAATCTGTCATTGGAAGGCAATAAATTTCTCATTAATTTGTATGTTCTGAAAATTTGTATTTGACAATACTCTCTAAGCAAAGCACTATAAAATACTTTAAATATTTATTTATCAGAATTTTTTTATCTATAGGAAGAATACACATAGCAGTATTAAAAAAATTTTTTTAAACCTGAGAAGACATAGGTATCATCCCACCGTGAACACAGTGCGTGAACTTTACATAACTATAATACTTTCCTGGACCTCATTTCTTTATCTGACTAAACTGATTTATCTTCCCTCTGGTGAGGATGAAGCCCCTCTTTTGTGATTACTCATCATCCATTTCCAAATGTACAAATATTATATGAACAGAACTTAGAGCACAAAGTGGCTTAGAGAAGGAAAATATAAAATTCTGCTTACATTTACTCCTATTAAATACATTTTTCAAAAATCATTTGGGAAGGACATATATTAACAATATACTTATAGATAAAAGTTAAAGTTAATAGTGATAATTCAAAAAACGAGGTGACTTTTAGAGTTTTAAATTATGCCCATATGCAAATCTGACAACCTATATTTTCAGTACATTACTAAAATCTAGAGATATACTTTTTCATTTATTCCTATGTGTTTATCTTTCTTTAGCAAATTTTATAATTTACTCATTGTAAAAGTATTTACCTAAATATCTCTAGATGGTTCAATATATTTTTTAAATGTTCTCTTTGACATAGATCAACACAGAAATATTTTTCTCTCATTTGTAAGCTTATATATAAGAAGAAATTTCTTTTTTATTAGGAAATGCTACTATATTTATGATAGTCATTAAATTAACAAACATATTAAAATCTTTGCCAAATAGTAACCTAATAAAATATAGTTTAATAAACAGTAGCCTTCCATGACTTGATTTCCTCAGTTATTTGGATCAAATTTTCATTGTTCTTAAGGTTAGAAAATGCACCTACAAACACAATTAGCTATACAGTAGATGAATACTCAGTCTCCAGTCAGCAATAAGGACCTATTTATTTGTGAGTTAGCATATTTCTACAATTATAATCATGAAATATAAATCCGCAACTATTGATGTAGTAACTGAAATATGATCCTTATGTTCGCTCTCCTTCTATGTCAGCCTGTTCTGCAAAATGCTAGTATTCCTATAGATGCTTCTTGGAAAATAAGGTTCTATAAACAAATGTTTGGGAATTTTGGATTCAAGGAAGAGAAACAAGTTGTGTTACTTTTGTTTCACTGTCAAGTTGGCCAGAGGAGTCTTAATTGGAATACTAAACTAGTTTTTTTGTGTGATAGTTCATGGGATTAGAGATACTGCACAGGATATATTTTGGGAAATGCAGTTCTGTTTAAAAACGTTTTACATAAGATGAAATAAAACAAAATAAAAATAGTAACCCACCTGGCCTCTGCTACTCAGAGGAAGATGGGAGCTGCAGACTCAAATGCTTTTCTGGGAAGAGAAAAGATAGCACTGTCCTAGGCTTCTCAGAAGTTTGCTATTAGAGTATTATTCCTTTATTCTTTAAAAGTATAAAGGGGGACCCAAATTGAAGCAAAAAATAAAAAGAAGATTAAAGATGTATTTTCTGGATACAAACTAGTAGAAATAAAATTGTGGTTTTAATGTAAGGTTTATTATGTGATGGACTTGAAAAACGTCCAGTTGCAAATCAGACTAATTGCCCTTCTCTTATGAAGTCAGTCTGGAGGGTGAAGTGTGGAGATTGCTTTTCTTCTATGTGAATTATTTGTTTCTCTAAAGAAAAAAAAAATCAACATAAGGAAATCCCTAAGAGTTTTCAATATAGATATCTCCAAAAGGGTTATTGCTGCCAAGTTTTTTTCTCAATGTCACATAATCTTTGTATAATTTGTAAATGATAACAAACCAATCAGGCCACATTCATAAAAGCCCAGTGACACATAATTTAGTTGAATCTGAGGATTAGAATTAATTGTCTCTCTTTGTTCCAAGTTCTAAATCTTAGTAAATGATTCACTGCATGTCATTACAGCTTAATATTTGCATGAAATCACAGTTTAGCTGGCATAATTTAACAGCAATTAAAAAGCTATTTAATCGTCATGCAAATTGGTATAAGGGCCCTTGAGTAAGAAGGGTGTCTGGTTTGTTTTTTTTTTTTTTAAAGTATCTCCAGGCGGACAGTTATACACTTGCGGACACCCGTAACATAATTGATAACATTCTTCCTATTCATGAAAATATAAGTGAATAATAATTCATGTTTTCCTTTATAAATAACAGAAAAGAGCAACAATATGAATATGTCATTCTGTAGGAAGGCCTTATTATGATAATGATAATGTATCTTTATCTTCCAGGCATAAGTCTAGGTTGGAGGTAAGCTACACATGTCCTCGTCCTCTAGCTTATAATACTTTCCATATTTTCCCTTCTGAAGAAAGACACTTCTGTAACTCTCTGAAACATGAAATGGCATAAAACAAAGTATGCAGAAACCTGTTAGAAAAGCTAACCGTTCCATTTCTAGGTCAGGCTTTAGGTAATATATGTACAGATGACTGAGGCCCTTACCCATCAGGCTGCTGTTATCAGGATCCAGCAAAAAGAAAAAGAAAAATATAAAATAACAACTCTTAATATTTCAAACCCAACACATAATCATGTAAATTTATGAGTAATGTTATACTACTCTAACACTGTATAACAAATCTCACTAATGAGTCCCCTGTACTTATTCAAACTATTCCCTACATGGCAGCCAGAAAACCCGAATGTTCTTTTTTAAACACTTTACTTCCATATATAAAATCTATAAGCCTGTTGCTGTTGTGCATAGAAAAATATCCAGACTCATTACAATGAGCCTAGAAGTCTTACACTTTCCAACCCCTTCCTCTTCCTTAAAGCTCACTTCTTTCTTTTTCCTTTTGCATTCTAGCCATAGTGGTTATCTGCCAATTCCTTGACTATTTTCAGATCTTTCTTGACTAAAGAACCTTCTACCCTTAATACTTCTCACTCCTCTGACATCCTCTTCCTCACCATCTCCATGAGGCTTTCTCATAATGATTCTCAGATTAGTCTTCCTGATAATGTTTGGGTTTTTTAAATATTTATTTATTTATTTATTCATTTATTCATTTATTTATTTTGAGAGAGAGCAAAAGAAAGATCACGGGAACGGGGGAGGAAGAGCAGGAGGGAGAGGAACAAGCAGATTTCACACTGAACGTGGAGCCGGATGTGGAGCTTGATCCCATGACCCTGAGACCATGACCTGAGCCAAAATGGAGAGTCAGACACTCAACTGACAGCCATCCAGGCACCCATGGTCCTCCTGACAGCCACCCAGGCACCCGTGGTCCTCCTGTTAATGTTTAGTTCACTTCCTTTCCTTTTGATGTTTGCAATTGTACTTATTATAATTTGAATTATAATTTATAATTCAAATTATAATTATAATTATAAAATTATATAATTATAATTATAAAATAAAATTATAATTATAATTTTATTCTTCTTTTAATGTTTGCCTGCCATTCAACTTAAATATATATAACAAAGTAGGAATTTATTACATTCACAATGTAAGTCCCAAGTCTAACAGGTGATCTGGCACACATAGTAGTCACTTAAAAAATATTTATTTCATGAGTGAATGACTGTATCTCGAGATCCAAAAGGACCCTATACCAAAACTTGAATTTCTTTCTGTGAAAAGAAGGTTGCAGCTAATTCTATACCACCTTCTAGGCAAACTTTCTTAATAGCAGAAATTTAAAGAATTGTTTTAGATTTTTTAAAACTAATCGTTCTAAAATATGACAGGATTGTTATTTTATTATATTTATACAATGAATCTATCAAAAGCATATTCTCTTACAGATAGGATTCTGTATTATTTCACACGTAGTGTAGTGCTGACTCCTAGTAGACCTTTAGTTAATGTTTATACAAGGAATGATACAAAACTGAGGTTTATTTGTTTGTTTATTTTTAAACTGGGATTTAAAGTACTCACATAAGTGTAAAAGATTATTGGCACAATTTTAAGAAAAGACTGGAGTAGTTAAAGTTTATTAAGTACTCTATGCAGTGTGATCCACATGGAAAAATATTAAGAAACATATTGTGTTTTTGTATATGTATGTATTTTTTTCAAATTTTGAAAATGGTGATATAATTATTAAAATGTAATTAAAACCATCACATAATTTAAAATCATTTTTGCTTATGATATAGTCCAGTAAACAAATTTTCAAAGTGTAATTACCATATCTTTTGGATATTTTGGGCTTTTGATATTTTCATATTCATATACCAAAGTTAAGATAGAGGCCATCTTTCCCCCCCACCCAAGACTTCCAGGCTTAATCAGATGTTTTTAACCATATTTCTTTATGGTTCCCATCAGAAAAGCTCAAACTAATATACAAGACAAATGTTTATTGATGAAGTTTTCAAGTTAGCATCCTTCTAATTCATTGTCCTACACATGTACATTTGTTTTTTAATTGCTTTTCTCTAGGGCCACCTTCAGCTCCTAGGAATGTGGCTTTTAACATCAATGAAACAGCCCTTATTTTGGAATGGAGTCCACCAAGTGACACAGGAGGGAGGAAAGATCTCACATACAGTGTAATCTGTAAGAAATGTGGCTTAGACACCAGCCAGTGTGAGGACTGTGGTGGAGGACTCCGCTTCATCCCAAGACATTCTGGCTTGATCAACAATTCTGTGATAGTACTTGACTTTGTGTCTCACGTGAATTACACCTTTGAAATAGAAGCCATGAATGGAGTTTCTGAGTTGAGCTTTTCTCCCAAGCCATTCACAGCTATAACAGTGACTACGGATCAAGATGGTAAGTTCCATTGGTATTCTCTCTAAACAAACTCATAATTCCCTTCTCATGCATAATATCCCTGGTGGGCCTTATTCACTGAGGTGCAGTTGTATACTCTATACACTAAAAAGGTGATCTTCTGGTTGTTGTTCTTACTGGTTTCTAAAGTCCAGAAGATTTTTATATTACTTCTTATTAGTGAGGTTAATTAGATATAATGCTTCTCAGCAATGTTTATGCACTGCTTTTGATATAATCCTGTACAAATATATCTTAATGAGCAAGTCCATATTACTTACCAACAAATGTCAGATAAAAAAAAATGTTGCTAAGGGAATTAAAATTCAGTTACTCCACTTATGCTGTCATTCCTTTTCCATATCAAATAAAGCAAATAGTAAGAATTTATGTTAAGTATAATTCGTATCTATGTTGTAAAAACATTGCAGCCAACATGCTTAACTGTGATCTACTCTGAAAAGAAAAAGCAAAAAATATCCAGAAATGTATCCAAATGCTGTTGTTAAGTATCATTTGCAAAAAGTTGTTGAATAGTCTTTTTAAAAAATCCAATTGCTTTCAGTTAAATATTCCCTTCATAACAGTATAGATTTTTACTATAACATAGGCACAAATACCCCTATGATTCTTGTAAGAATATATTCTCTTTAGTTCCCTCATAACATGATTTGTTGCAGTACATGATACAGGAAAAGCATCAGAGATTTTAAAAACTCCCTTCGAGAAGCATTCATAAATTATGTGGGCACACAAATGATTTACTTATAACAGAGAGTGTTGTATATGAGCATATATATGTGAGACAAATTTATAAAGATAAAACTATTCTTATGCTGTAACAAATGCCACAAACTGTGGTTTAAACAACAGAAATTTATTTTCTCACAGTTCTAGAGGCTAGAATTCAAGAATAGTGTATCAGCAAGTTTGATTTCATTACTCAGCAATAAAAGGGAACACATTATCGATGCACACAACTTATATGAACTTTAAGAGCTCCTGTGCTGAGTGAAAAAGACAATTTCAAAGGGATGCATACTGTGTGGTTCACTTATATAACATTCTTGAAATGACATAATTATAGACATGAAGAATAGATAAGTGGTGGCCAAAGCTGGGAACTGGGGGAGAGGGATATGGCCATGAAGGGCAGGAGAGAGCCTTTTGGTGATAATATAGTTACATACCTTAATTGTTGTGACAGTTACATGAAGCTGAGTATGTGATAAATTGCATAGAGCTACACACATACACACACACACACACACACACACACACACACACACACACACAGTAGATTTTACTAATGTCAATTTCCTGGGTTTTATTTTGTACCATAGTTATGCAGATAGTTAACACTGTGGAGGCTGAGTAGATGGTGTATGGGATCTCACTATACATATTTTTTGAATCTATAATAATTGCAAAATTTTAGAAAGTTTAAATGAATGTGACTTTTATTTAAATGGTTACACGTAAATTCACTTTGCTGATAATCTTCAGAAATAGATCTGATAAATAAAGCAAAGTCACATAGTACTGTACAATCATCACCTTGTATATACCATGCAGTTTTACCCTTCATTTAGCAAATAACTACACATCATAGAATTTGCTTTATGGCTTTTAAAAAGGAATTCCTATTTCCTCTTTTTTTCCTTCTTTCCCATAGTATCAACAAAGTCTGGTCAAATATATCTTCAGGATATAAGAGATTAGCATCTTCTGTTCCTCTCTACATTAGCAGATGACATCTAAAGCGTTTTGGCTCCCACGGTCAAAAAAATACAACTCAGAACAACCATTCTTAACCATAGGGTATAAATAATTAAGTTGGGTGGTAAAAGCAGTATTTCACTTTAAATAAAATATATATGTACCTTTCTTTACATAATTTCATACATATTGCATTGAGCAGTCTTTCATTCTAGGATTAAAAGAGAATTCATTTACTCTACTTTCTCACTTAGCAGAAGACAGAATATAAATTGTTTCTCATTTTTAAAATGAGAGAATTCATTAAAACTGTATTGCTTTGAAGACAGAAGTTTAATTAGGCACAAAATAAAATATAGTATCCATCTATTGAGACTATACATTCTGGAAGGATACTATTACTAAGCAGGCCTCCCCAGTAAATTTCATTTTGTTGAAGAATATTAAGAAATAATTATTGTTAATTTAACTGTCTTTTAGATGTAAATAGTAAGAAAAATCTAAATATATTTAAATTTTATTTGAAAAGTACATAAAGGACCTAACTGAGCTAAAATATTGCCAAAAAAATTAATGAAATATTATGACCATCAGAAAAAAGACAAGGATGTCCACTCTTACCACTTTTATTCAACATATTGCTAGAAAATCCACCCATAACAATCAGACAACAAAAAGAAATAAAAGGCATCCAAATTGGTAAGAAAGAATTGCAGTTGACATGATACTCTAAATAGAAAACCTTAAAGATTCTACAAAAAAAAAAAAAAACTAGAACTGATAAACAAATTCAGTAAAGCTGTAGCATACAAAGTCAATGTAGAGAAATCTGTTGCATTTCTATACACCAATAATGAAGCAGCGGAAAGAGAAATCAAGGAATCAAACCCATTTACAATTGCACCAAAAACCATAATATAGCTACGAATAAATCTAACAAAAGAGATGAAAGACCTGTACTCTAAAAACTATAAAAACACTGAGGAAAGAAATTGAAGACAACAAAAAGAAATGGAAAGACATTCCATGCTCATGGATTGAAAGAACAAATATTATTAAAATGTCTATACTACTCAAAGCAATTTGCACATTTAATGCAATCCCTATCAAAAACCACTAGCATTTTTCACAGAACTAGAATAAACAATCCTAAAATTTGTATGGAACCAGCAGAGACCCCATATAGTCAAAGCAATTTTGAAAAAGAAAAGCAAAGCTGGAGGCATCACAATTCCATACTTCAAACTATATTACAAAGCTGTAGTGATCAAGATAATATGGTATTGGCACAAAAATAGATACATAGATCAATAGAATAAAATAGAAAACCCAGAAATGAGCCCACAAATCTTCAACAAGCATGCAAGAAAGAATATCCAATAGGAAAAAGACAGTCTCTTCAACAAATGGTGTTGGGAAACCTGGACAGCAACATGCAAAAGAAGGAAACTAGACCACTTTCTTACACCATACACAAAAATAAATTCAAAATGAATTAAAGGCCTAAATGTGAGACTTGAAACCATAAAAATTCTAGAAAAAAACATAGGCAGTAATCTCTTTCACATCAGCCATAGAACTTTTTTCTAGATAAGTCTCCTAAAGCAAGGGAAACGAAAGCAAAAATAAACTACTGGGACCACATCAAAATAAAAAGTTTCTGCACCAAAAAAAACAAAACAAACAAACAAACAAACAAAAAAACCCAAAAAAACCACTTCTGTACAGCAAAGGAAACAATCAACAAATCTAAAAGGCAGCCTAAGAAATGAGAGAAGATATTTGCATATGATACATAGAATAAAGGGTTAGGATCCAAAATATATAAAGAACTTATAAAACTCTTAACACCTAAAACAAATAATCCAATTAAAAATGGGCAGAAGACATGAATAGCCATTTCTCCAAAGACATCCAGATGGCAAACAGATACCTGAAAAGATGCTCATCATCACTTACCATCAGGGAAATGCAAATCAAAACTACGATGAGATATCACCTCACACCTGTCAGAAAGGCTAAAACCAACAACACAAAAACCAACAATGTTGGTGAGAATGTGGAGAAAAAAAAAGATTCCTCTTTAACTGTTGGTGGGAATGCAAACTAGCACAGTCACTCTAGAAAACAGTACGGATGTTTCTTAAAAAGTTAAAAATAGAACTACCCTATGATCCAGAATGACACTACTGAGGATTTACCAAAGAATACAAAACACTAATTCGAAGGGATACATGCATCCCTATGATTATAACAGCATTATTTACAATTGCCAAATTATGGAAGCAGCCCAAATGTCCATATATGATGAATGGATAAAGCAGATGTGGTATACATACCATGGAATATGATTCAATGATAAAGAAGAATGAAATTGTGCCATTTGCAATGACATGGATAGAACTAAACAGTATAATGCTAAGCAAATTAAGTCATTCAGAGAAAGACAAATGCCATATGATTTCACACATATGTGGAATTTAAGAAAAAAATGAGCAAAGGGGAAAAGAGAGAGAGAAAGTGAGATAAACCAAGAAACAGACTCTTAAACTATAGAGAAAAAACTGATGATTATCAGAGGGAAGGGATATGCGGGGGATGGGTTAAATAGGTGATTTGTTTAAGGAGAGCACTTTTCATGGTGAGCATGAGCTGATGTATGGAATTATTGAATCAGTACATTGTACACCTGAAACTAATATAACATTGTATGTTAACTAAACTGGAATTCAAGTAAAAACTTTAAAAAAACAACAAAAATAGTCCTGTATACAGGATGGTAGTGAGCCATTGAATATTAAAGCACATTTACCTGGCCCTAACCAAAAAAAAAAAAAAAAAAAAAAAAAAGTATTATGATCAGCCTTACAAGTACGAGTGACTCTCCCCACGTCACAATTTTGAGAAACGCCAAGAAAGCCTTGTCTCTCTGTGCTGAAATTCCTACATTAGAATATCACATCTTTAAAAAGGCAGATGATTTAAGCAAGGGTAACAGTATAAAATAGCTCAATCCGTGCATGTATCAGTTATGCTTTTTTTTTTTAAAAAGACTTTATCCATTTACTTGACAGAGATCACAAGGAGGTAGAGAGGCAGGCAGAGGGGTGTTGCGGGGGAAACAGGCTCCCCACCTAGCAAAGAGCCCGACACAGGGCTCAATCCCAGGACCCTGGGATCACTATCCTAGCCGAAAGCAGAGGCCCTAACCCACTGAGCCACCCAGGCGCCCCTGTGCTTTTAATATCATATCCTATTGTTGGATTAAAAAAGGACCTTAT